TTCAAATAAGAAGAAAAAGCAGAGAAGACAAACATTCCACCGCAGATGTGAGCTATGGCTTTATGTAAGATGAGGCATATGCCGGGTGTTGGTTGCGCATGCCTTTAATCCCAGCACTCGGGAGGCAGAGGCAGGTGGATCTCTGTGAGTTCAAAGCCAGCCTGGTCTCCAGAGCGAGTGCCAGGATAGGCTCCAAAGGTACAGAGAGAAACCCTGTCTCGAAAAACAGAAGAAGAAGAAGAAGAAGAAGAAGAAGAAGAAGAAGAAGAAGAAGAAGAAGAAGAAGAAGAGGCATACAATACAATGAAAGGAAACTGGATAATCTCAGATGAAGTTTTTTTATGTACAGTCATTGACATATGACAAGTGTACCAAGGCAAACGAGTGGAGGAGTGTTCTTTTCCATCAATGAAATGCCGTCACACAGCTCAAATTTTACTCACTGAAGGAAAAAAAATGAACTGATACTGAAATCTTATATCTGACTTTTTAAAATCTCAAAATATAACTAAACCTAAATGTGAGTGATGAATATAGAAAGCATCTAGAGGGTAAAAAGGTAGAGGAAAGAATTGTAAACTTGAACTAGACAGAATTCTAAGGACGATTATTAAAGACATTCACAATGAAAGAACTCAATAAAAATCAACCATAAAAACCATTTGTGCCTCAAACTGCATTATCGAGTAAAAGAAACAGCAAGTTACAGACTGGAAGAAATTATTTTCAAACTATATAAAGAAATATTTGTACTGAGAATATAAAAAGAAATCTTACATCTGATCAAAAAGACAAAAATTCTAATTAAAAAATGATCAAGCCATGTGGGTAGTACTAGACATTTCATCAAAGAAATCATACAACTTATTAAGAAATGTATAATAAGGTACAGAACAATAATCACTAGTATAATGCCAATTAAACATGCCTAGATGCTATTACATGTCACATAAATGGCTAAGATCAAGCGGATAGAAGACAGAAGGTGTACAGGACAGTGAGAAACTATTGTATATTTCTAATGAGGACATATGAAAGCATACCTACAGTGAAAAATTGTAATTTTCAAAATGCAAAAGAAAAGCCTTTGTGCACATCTCTGCAATTCCACTCCTAGGGACTGGCACCAGAGGGCGAGACTGTATCTCATCTCAAAGAACTGTGTACATATTCACAGCCATGATGTCCTATGACATTCTTAAACTCGGAACAATTCAAACTTCCTTCTATTTCAAATCCATATCCATAGTTAAATGTCATTTATCATTTAAAAGCATACAAAATACTAATGCATACCACAGAGTCGACAAACAACCAAAACTTTACCATCATACTATGTGAATCTGTTTCTGTGAGACCTCTGTAGAAGCAAAATTTATAAAGCTCCCTTAGGGAGTTGGAACAGGGCTGAGTATTCAAAAAAGCTTGACTGGATATTTAAAGTGATAAAAATATTTTAAATCTGATGGTGTGATAGTTGACCACATTAAATATTTATCAAGTATAATTCAACTCTATTTATGTAATAGGTTTATTTATGTTTATTTTATTATATGTAATTATGACTCAACAAAGCTTCATAAAAAAGAAATCTCAGGCTCCATGCGATGGTTCATGACTATGATCTAGGATTCTGCAGTCAGGGGTAGGAGGAGTTCTGTGAGTTCAAGGCCAGACCTGGCCAGAACGTAAGTTCCAGGCCAGCCTGAGTTACAATGTAAGATGATGTTTCAAAAAGCAAAGCAACAGAAATAAAAATACCAAATAAAAATGAAGTTTCCACCTTCTCATTTGTAACAGGGGGATATGTTCATAATTGGATGGATGGACATGCTATAAGGTTATCACTACAAATAGTAATTGTCATTGTCACGGTTATCACCATCACTTTCTTCCTAGTCTGAGTTTAAATGTGTAGTTTCACCTCTGACTCCACAATTCTGAGCTCTGTTACAGAAAACATTACCCAAGACTGAGTCACCTGGTCATCCTAAAAACTCAGTCATGATTTTGACTGCATGCCTGATGCTTTCTGAGAGACATGAGCCTCACTCAGTTCCTCTACATTCTAAGAGCCCATCCCCACCTCACTCAGTGCATCTACATTCTAAGAACCCATCCCCCCTCACTCATTCTGGAAACACCCCTCTTGGTTTATTGAGAATAAACGCATAGGATAGGTAGCTGAAAGTATCCTCCTATCTTCTATCTAGCTCCAAGGTCAGGAGTGGCCTCTCTTCCTTCATTCCTTAGGTCAAGGTATTCAGCATCCTTGAAACCTTTGTATCTGTTCAAAATTCTCTATTATATGTACTCTATTATACACTTCTTTTCTTTTTCATAATCTTCTCATTAATAAATGAAGTCAAACAAAGTCAAGACATCCCAAATTTTTCTTCATCCTTTCTGTATCTATTCATGAATTTATTATCATTGTAACTAGTGTATTGGCTGCATAGTAGGTCATCGATTTTCTTGATTTCTTTTTTTTCAGATTTTTTAATTTGAATTAGAAACAAGATTGTTTTACGTGATAATTCCAGTTCCCTTCTCCCTCCTGTCTTCCCCTACAACACCCCCAACTAAAACCCTACCTATCACATATCCTTTCTGCTCCCCCTAGATGTTGAGGCCTTCCATAGTGTGTCATCAGAGTCTATCATATCCTTTGGGATTAGGGCCTAGGCCCACCCCCATGTGTCTTGGCTCAGGGAGTATTCCTCTATGTGGAATGGGCTCCCAAAGGTCATACCTATGCTAGGGATAAGTACTGAACTACTACAGGAGGTCCTGTAGATTTCCGAGGTTTCCTCAATGAAATCCGTGTTCCTGGGGTCTGGATCAGTCCCATGCTGATATCCCAGTGATTTTCTTGATTTCTATTCTGCTACTTCTCATGCTTTTCTTTTTGAGTGGAAAACTCACCAGTAAACCCCTGAAATATGACACAGCACTCCAAATTTTGTCTTTCCTTCCTCTGTTTTTACTAGATTAAGATTATTACATAACGGAGCTACATTTATAACTAATTTTAAATGGTCAAAGACACTTTCACTGTTCTTATTTGATATCTCAGTTAGGGTCTGACAGCAATATGTTCTACTCTAGTTCCTTGTTTCAAATATAAATTATTTGAATTATAAATATATTGACATTCCCATCAAAGATATTTGTGAATATACATACTTTCCATTTAACTTCATATTTCTACTTTTGCTTCTTTGTCAAATAACTGTTTTTATGCAAGTAGTGGTAAAAATAATTCAAATAGGTCTTGCATTTTGTTTCAATATATGCAATTTTATACAGGATACTGGTTTTTGTTTGGTTACTATATCTCACAGAATATGTTTATGAGACAAAATTATCAAAACAGACAATATAGAGATACTTAAATGCCATTAAACTTTACATTAATATAATAACTGTATGTTGCCACCTATGATGATCTATAGCAAAAGGAATTTCCATTTTCAGTAGGTAATATGATATCCAGGCATGTCAGGAAAATGTTCTTTGTCATGCAAAGAATCTTTAGTTCAAGGTAAACATCAAAGTTTCCACTTCTATTTGTTGTATTTGTGATATTGATAAAATAGTATGACTATGTATTGCATAGAGAGCAATTCATATTTTACTAATGTCCAAATCTGTAAATGGTATTGAATACGAAGTAAAACTGCACTTGTAAGCCAATATTTAAACAGAGAAATAGATCAGAAAGTAACAGACAGTGTCAGGTAAACTTCCTGTCCTCTTACTATCTCAGAACGGAAGCGTCTGGAAGGGTCAGCACCAATTAAACTCTTGCACTAAGTGCTAACTACAGAAGCAGCTGCTTCCTTACAGAAAATATGCCTTCTGGAAACTTCCATAACGTATGTCAAGTTTTAGGATAAAGAAGCGCATTTGTTATCTAGTTCAGAGATAATTGCTTGCCATTAGGTTGGTGGGAACGTAAATTTTACTCCTTTCTGTCAGCTAGCTTGTCAGCCTCCTAAGCTCTGCTCCATCTGTCCCTCCAGTGAGAAGCACAGTATCATTTTGCCTTACACCAAAGTGATAATGACTGGTAAATGTAAATTTCACTGAAATCACATGTGTGGAAATGTTTAACTGTTTCTTATTTCTTTCACGAACAGAGAATTCATATGTGTTGATCTTTATTCAATGTCATGAGCTTTAGAAAGCAAATTCATTTGCTACAATGATGTCAACATATTATTGACTTCTTTCTTTTTGTCAAGAATTACACATACACTTGGCTGTCAGACATTAGAGGCAGTGTTGTCACAGAAGGGGTACTTATTATGCTTTTCTCTAGGATAGTGAGAGATGGTGAAAAGAAGCTGCCTGAATGTGCCCTGGTGCCAGCAGGTACTAAGCTTGTCTCTAAGCCCAGATGCCACATAGCAGCACTGCACCTGTGGCTCCAGGGAGAAGCTTTACTAAAAATGTCTATTATTTCCTAAGTACCCACTGTTTCTGTTTTCTTACTTTAACATCCATCAAGTCATTGCCATTTACCAATCTTTGTATTAAAAATTATAGATATTAGCACAATTTAATCCTTGGAGTTCCTTTAATATGAATATTATTATGTTATACATTTTGTAAAAATCTAGAACTTTTAAAGACCACTCTGTCTATATGTCTTTCTCCCTGTCTGTCTCTATGACACACACACACACACACACACACACACACACACACACACAGGTGATGAATTGCAAAGCCCAGACCTGCACACTAGCAGGCTGTTGTGGAGCAGCCTGGTTTTGTTATTGTTTTTGTTATTGTTTGTTTGTTTGTTTTTGTCAGAGCATGCTTTTATCTTCTAACATATTATCTCAGTGTGCTTGGGGATAAAACACCAAGAGGTCGTGTGAAAAACAAACGTTCTAGCTCTATGCAATTGGTGCCTGTAATAAATGGCAACACAATGACTATTTGATGCTAAATCTAATACTTGGTGTCAACAGGAACACTTGTCTACTTACCCACTCAGTGCCCTTCTGTGGAATGAGGGTGGCATAAATGGAAAAGGAAGCCTAAGCTTCTGCTACTGTCAGTGGCCAGGACCTCCTCACAGCTATGCCAATCCAGCTGTGGGCAAAGACATAGAACAGAGCAAGAGATAAACAAGGAGTACAGGCTGTTTTTGCATTGAATATGTTTATTGCTGTAATATTAAGCCTTCTCATCAGAACTTTTCCTGTAAGAACAGTGTGGTTTTGCTGTAAAGATCTGAAATTGCTAGCATGGACACCTTACATTTCCCCTTGAAGAGAAGAAGCCACGCTGATAAGAAGTGAGCTATAGACTATGGGTACCATGTCTCAAGTATTTAAGGATAAAGTGATAAACTTGCAGATGGACCCATTAATGAAGATTAATTGCTTTAAATTGGGTTTTATTGTGCAGTGGGTAAATTGGAAAGTACACATTTGCATTGGTAATAGAAAATTAATTTAAATGCTTCAGGAAGCAAAATATCACCTGATGGGCTAAAACCTGTTATTTGTGGTGCTTTCAAAAGAAAACTTGAAGGGAACTGTGCATGAAAATAAAATACCGGTGCTAGAGGACCACAGATGTGTGACCAGCTTCTTTGGTGTGAACCCCTGTGGCCACTGATTCACATTGGCTAAGTCCCTTATGGTGTCAGGTTTAGCGCTTAGTGTACACCGTGTAACCAAAGTCTGGTGGTGATGGAATTGGGCATTATAAATCTCAGCTATATGGACCCTGGGGAGGTAATTAGACCTCCTTGTCTCTCCCTGGAGTGCATGCCTTGACATCTTCAGAACAGACTGCTGCCTACTTGGGCTTATATAACTGGAGGTTTCTGTCTTGCCAGGTCCCCCCCACTTCAGCCCCAAATGAACACACAGAGATGCTACATAAATTATTAAACTGTTGGCTGATGGATAGGGCTTCTTATTGGCTCGCTCTGTCTTAATTATTAACCCATTTCTATAAATCTATGTATTTCCATGTGGTCCTGGCTTACCAGAAAGGAGACCTGTTACTCCTTTCAATGCTACATGGTGTCTTCACCCTCTTCTGTAATGATCTCTAAGTCTCTCTCTCTCTCTCTCTCTCTCTCTCTCTCTCTTTCTCTCTATCTATCTATCTATCTATATAGATATGCCTGCCTACCTTTCCTAGAATTCTCCTCATCTCCTAGTCCCACCTATTTTCCTGACTCTATTGGCCAAAGAGTGTTTTATTTATCAACCAATAAGTGAAACATATATACAGAAGGATATCCTCCATCAGCTTATAAGTACTTGGAGAAAAGATATTACAACTCCCTCCTCGGGGATCTGACTGGGCTGTGCAGTAGAACCCTTCCTTCTTGCCTCTCTTTGTCTCCATAGTGATGTTTAAGCCACCATCTCCATCTTTTGTTTAGGAAGACTTGGTAAGCTGAGAACCAAGGTCAATTGGATGGTCCTCTTCAATTCTTGATTTCTTCCTTTTCTTGTATAAGAGTAACCTTTTCTTTTTGTGGCTCTTTCTTTTAATTTTACGTTCCTATAATCTTTGGCTTTGAATCCTGCTAGGAAAGAAGTAGTGCTTAAAAATAGTAAAAACTCTAATAAAAGAGATATGTAATAAAGACTGTCCTGAGGCAAAAAGCAGTAAGACAGTGTCACTGTGGCAGTTCTATTGACTTAGACAGTTGAGCCACTGTTCCCCAAAGAAAGAAAGGATAGGAGAAAATTGAGTTTGTGAGGAAGAGGAAGAAACTGGAACTTAAACAGGCTGATGCTCAGCCATGTATATTTCCAGGGACTGACAGAGGCTGCATATTTAAATCCAAGGGCCATCTGCTTACAGTTATTTTTAAAGCCCATGAAATAGAATGAGATCACCTAAAGAATAAATGTAAGGTTAATATAGAAAGCCTCTGGGGCTACTTGGGCATTCAGCAATGTGAAAGAGAGAAAAACTCAGCAAGAAAAAAAAACTCAGGGAAAGGGAGGTTAGAGATGAAAGATAAAGGAGGCAAATGTGGTATCCTGGAAACCAGGTAAGAAGATGGGAGGGGCCAGCCATGGCTGATGCTGCTGAGAGGTTAAGGTCAAGTAAGAAGAGGTCCTTGTTGGCCCTGGCCTTGGCAAGGGCTGTTTTAGTATTGCAATAGGGACAAAAATCAGTTTGAGGTAGCTTCAGGAGAGAATAGCAGATGAAAAGGAGAGCGAGTGAATGCAGCCATCCTTTCCAGTAAGTTTGATACAAAGAGGAACAGAGGACAGGGTGAAAACAGAGGGGAATGTGAGATCAAGAGCAAAATAAAAAAAGAGAGATATGAGGGTTTCTAGTGAGAATAATTGGGGAGAAAAGAGAAATGATGGTGCTAGGCAAAGAGGAAGTACCACAGCAGGGTTGGAATCCAGCACGCAAGAGCAAAGTGTGCTCTGGATTCGTCTGGGTTGGAAATGAGGCTGTGTGGGTACAGATGGGTGAGTGTTAAGTATTTAGTCAAATACAGTGACCAATGGTCTTTATTTTGTATTTTTCTTTGGAGGAATTAAAAACAAAACAACATTTTTAGGTTCTTAAGCATCCCATTAGCCCAGGAAGACAGTCTATGCTACAAATGAACAGCAACCAGATTCCAGAGTTAGACAGTGTGCTGTTTCTGCAGCGCAGGAAGTATCTGCTGTCAGGTGGGCACAGCTGTCTGCCCTGGGGACACTGATGCTCTGATCTGACTGTTCCTTGGCCACACCTCCTGAAATCCCTGATGAGTGCCAAGTGTAACCCAGGGGAGGCTGTGAGCTCCGTGGGTGTCACCCAACACTAAGGATCATCCAAGCATGTCCAGAAGGATGCCTCTGTCTAACCCTGACCTCAGGAGGATCTTTACCAGACCACATTGCATCCTGATTCTTTGTGGGTAAGACAGACAGCTCACAACATTGTCAGCAAGTTCCACGTGTTAAAGCCTTGAGTAAGAGCCCCAAAGCTGTCACTCATGCTCAACCCAAACCCGGACTTTTCCTTTATATTTTTCAAGGACTTTTCATTTCCTGACCCAGGATTTATCTTCCCCCCAGGTGATTGACAGCAGCAATTCCCCTCAATCGATGTCTAACTCATCAGTAGAAGGTATCCCAGATCTCTGTCCCAAATAGGACAATTACCACACAGTAACTGCAAAATGGTTTTCCCGGGGCTGCTATGACAAAGTGCCACAGGCTGGGTGAATTCAACAGGTTTTTTTTTTTGTTGTTGTTGTTGTTGTTTTTGTGGGGGGTGGATATTCTAAGACCACAAGTTTCCGCCTAGAGCTTCTGCAGGAATGAATCCTGCTGAGAGAGAATGTCTCTTTCAGACCTTTCACTCAGGTTTGCTGCATGTTTCCCTGTGTACAAACCTGTGTCCCAGACTTCACACCTGGATAAACACATGGATCATATGGATCTTGTTTTAATTTAGCCACCTCTTTAGAGATTCTCTCCACATGAATTCACATTCTGTTGGACTGTGATTTAGGACAAAAGCAGATGGACTGCAGAGAGTCACAGTGTGGGCTGCACCGGAGGGTCACACTGTGGGCTTCGCCGGAGGGTCACACTGTGAGCATCGCAGGAGGGTCATGGTGTGGACTGCAGAGGGTCACGATGTGGGCTACGGAGGGTCACAGTGCAGCCCATTCCAAAAGAAAGAATGTTTTCGATCTTAATATTTTAAAAGCAAAGTTGTACCTAAAGAGTAATAGTCTTTGAAATCTAAGTATATTGCCTGGATCTTAACAACACCAGCCATGTTTGTGATGTTTACTCCCCAACAGCCCCCTCTGTCAAATGCTTTTCTGGCATTTATTTCCCTATTTCTAAATACCAGCCACATGCTGACATTTATTCTTCATGATAAATACCGTGCAGTAGCTCCACACTACGGAATATGGGGCTTTTGTCCTGCGCACCTCTTCCTGTCTGCCCAGCAGAGACACACTACCAAAGTACTTGGCAATATTTGCTTTTTTATTAATCACCACTAGTCAATTTCCATTCATTTCATTCCTGCACCATAGTTGTTCAATGCAGAGTTTAACATTGTTTTATTCCTGTGGTTAGTTGTTCACCTGTTACTGCTGGCTCCACGACCATTCTACCAGCATTACAGAATGGTCAGACACACGGGGTCACCTGTCATTACAGAATGGTCAGACACACGGGGTCACCTGTCATTACAGAATGGTCAGACACACGTGTGTCCCTCCTGTTTCCTTGGCAAAACTGCCTCAGGTTAGCCTCAGCAGGAATCAAGACTTTTTCACAGCTGTCTTCCAAAGCCTTTATTCCCTCCCACGCAATGAGAACCACATGGCTCTCCTGTGTTGGCTCCTCCACTTCTAGAATCTGGATGTCTCTTAGATGCCTCCATTATGTTCTGGGAGAGCATCCATAGGAGATCAATACATTAGAGGCTTTATGATTTGGGGCTTAACATCACTTAGCCCCCTCCCTTCTCTCTCCTTCTCTACTTCCTTCTTTCTTTAATATTTGTTTTGCATCCTGACCAGTCTCCCCTCCCTCCTCTCCTCCCCCCTACCCGCCTTCCATTCCTCTTCTTCTTCTGTTAGAAAGGGGCAGGCCTCCCGTGGGTATCAAGTCTCTCCCACATCTTTCCATTATCTTCTTTCTCTCCGTGTGTGTGTCTCTTCTAAGGACACTGGCAATGGCATTTGAGGCGCATATAGTTCTCTGCAATCATCTCATTTAAAGATTCTCAATCACATTTGTAGAGGTTGTTTTTATGAATATGGTATCATTTATAAAGCTTAAAAACCACAGGAGCACCCATCTTTGGGTGGCACTCTCTAGCTCCGTATAGAAGGTAAATGACGTTGTCATTGTCAGTAGCCAGGAGAATTTCCCTCACTGAAATCTCAGATGATGATGTGCCAAGTTGTTTCTTGTCAGTAGTTTTGCTTTGTGGGCAGTTTGTGGACAACTTGACCCATGTACTTAATTTCAGGGATTATTTTCTTTATTGATTTTGGAATGACTCTTTGTGCTATATATTTCTTTTGTTCTTTTTTAACATAATTCCTGCTAGTTATTTTTTACCCCGTGCTAGCAGATCTT